AATTAATATTTATAGGTTATGCTCATTACATGGAAAGGACAGATCTGCCCTTAGTCTTTACATAACAAATAGAGCAAAATAAGACTGAAATAAATAACAACTGAAACAATTAAATGACCAATAGCTAACCCTAGGAAGACTAGAACACCTTGTACCCTACGAACACAGTGGGACCGTAGCTGTGGGGCCCACATCAGTGTTCTCTACAGAGTGGAATGGACAAATTCTATCTATATTTTTATCCATTTCAATTTAATTATAAATTATAATTATAATAAATTATAAATCGCAAAGGCGTGACGTAAGGCACTCTACTGCCTGGAGACGTGAGGTGAAAAGGTGTAAGCCTCTTGAGCACAAGGTGTGAGCCTCCTCAAAAGGGTGTTGAGGGGGTCTAGGGGGTGAAGCCCCTCAGCCCAGACTTCCTTTCCTTTCCTTTCTTTTTCTTTTTCTTTTCTTTTCTTTTCTTTTCTTTTCTTTTCTTTCTTTGAGAGGCACACACCTCTGGTGTGCCTCATGTAAGAGGTGTTTGAGGTGCACATCTCTGGCACCTGTGGTGCATGCCTCAGAAGCATAAACACTTCCATCATGCGCCTCAGGGTGTTTTGAGGGTGCCTCCAGGCATACACCTCTCACACCTTTTAAAACATTGATATATACTGAAAAATATTCCTATCTCTGTATGGTTACTCTCCTTTACCTTTTGTTTTCCTTTATCCTTTTAATGCAAAACTCCATTCATCACTAACATTATAATATGAGGGATTTTCACTAGGTGACATGAAAACAGCATCCTATCACCCGCTGTATATTTGTATTGATGTGTGTGTCTTTGACAATCTTTCTCTCACATTGTACATGTATATAAAGATATATTTGTATGCACATAAGTGTGAGTTTTGTAAATTTACATATTTGAATATCCATACACTTATATATAGAGAAAAATCTATGTAATTTTAGTATTCATGCATGCATACAATCACAAACATACAATTTCTGCTTGTTTATTATAGATATATGGTTTCTACAGGGTACACTTTCGGATGGGAGGGTAGTGGCTGTGAAGCAACTCTCTGTGGCATCCCAACAAGGAAAAAGTCAGTTTGTAACAGAGATTGCTACCATATCTGCAATTCAACAGCGTAATCTTGTGAAATTATATGGATGCTGCATTGAAGGAGAAAAGCGCCTCTTAGTCTATGAGTATCTTGAAAACAAGAGCCTTGATCAAGCACTCTTTGGTATGAACCTGTTAAGAACTTTGTTCTTTCACCTTACTGCAACTCTAGTATATGGAATACAGTAGAAGCTATAAGAATCATGTATACCCAAATGGTGCCACTGGTTTTCAGGGAATACCACTTTACATCTTGATTGGCCAACCCGTTATAAGATATGCTTGGGAACAGCAAGAGGGCTAGCTTATCTTCATGAAGAGTCAAGACCTAGGTTTGTACACAGAGATGTTAAGGCTAGTAATATTCTTCTTGATGCTGATTTACATCCCAAGATTTCAGATTTTGGTTTGGCCAAGCTGTATGATGACAAGAAGACCCACATTAGCACCCGAGTTGCAGGGACAATGTAATTACCTGAAATCATTTACTTGCATCATTTTTCTGTCTTAGTTGTTGACTCTTTATTTGTATGTATCATTAGAAATATATATAACCAGTTAACCTCAGCTTTGGTTAATGTATGTGAAGTGGCTATCTCGCACCAGAATATGCTATGCGTGGGCATCTAACTGAGAAGGCTGATGTGTTTGGATTTGGAGTTGTCACTCTAGAGATCTTTAGTGGGCGGCCAAATTCTGACCCTAGTTTGGATCGAGAGAAGATATATCTCCTTGAATGGGTATGAAATAAATAAAAGATGAAATTTATTGTTTTGGGAACTCGTGTCTTTTATATTGACATTATGTCCTCCAATGTTTGTCATTTTTGTTTGATCGTTTAGGCATGGAATCTACATGAAAACAACTGTGAACTTGAACTTGTTGATAAAAAATTGAGTGAGTTTGATGAAGAAGAAGCCCGTCGACTTATAGGAGTAGCTCTTTTATGCACTCAGACATCACCGGCATTTCGGCCCTCCATGTCACGTGTTGTGGCCATGCTTTCAGGAGATACTGAAATTAGCAACGTTACATCCAGGCCTAGTTATTTAACAGAATGGCAGTACAATGACATCACCAGTAGCTCTGTGAGTAACTCGATGCCAAAATCAACTAATGATCAATTCAAGATGTCATCAGATTCAAGCATGGTGGATGAACCAAGCCCCTCCAGGCAAAATGATGATTCTCAACCAATGATCCATAGTATTATTGGAGAAGGAAATTGATAATTGGTTTCCATGTTATCTGATATTTGTCATAAATATCAATTTTCTAGCAGTTTTCTACTAAGGTACTTCTCTTGCACATTAGTAATTCTTTTGGAAGAAAGTATTTGAAATTAGTAACTTTATTTCTTGGATTAAAAGTCAGATTATGTTTTCCAGTTCTTGGAACTTAAAATGTTAAATTTGATATATATTTCAGGTCCACAGGTCTATAAAGCTAGGGGTAGACCAAAAACGAAATTGTTTAAGTAGTGAGAGGTGATTCAAGATCTGTAATTTAACAATGGATACAGTACTCAACAGAGTAGAATGGTGGAAGAATACATGTAGCGATCTCATTTGTTCAGGATAAGGTTTGAGTATGAATAGCTAGATCAATGCTTCAATGTTTCATCATTATCATTGTAGAGATAGTTGTTAGTGTTTTGTCCCACACTTTATTTTTGCTAATTTCCTTATGTTATTTCATGGCAGTTATTGGTAGTTAGGCCATATTTATTTGTTTTGTTTTCTTATGAAGTTATTAGGGGTATTAGAGGAATTCTACCTATTGTTTAGGTTACAAGTATAATTAAGAATTAGTGGGAAGGCCAGACATAACTAACTGCACCCCTTCTCTCTCTTCTCTTTGGTTCTGGGTTGATCTTTCTTCTCTTTTCTCTCTGAAATCACATCAGAAAACAAACCTTTTTTGTTTCTTTTTATTCAAGTATCATCATCAGTGATGGGGTCAGCTGCATGAATCTTGTTCCCCCAATCAATTCTGTTTGATGTCATAGCATAAATTTCCTAAGGGTACTTCACAGTGATGGAGAAGCTCATTTAGAATAGAGGCTAAAGTATTCTTCTTTGGTAGTCTTGGTTACAGTAGTTATCTGTTGAAGATTCTGGAGGACAGGAGGACTTATATTTTCCTGGACAAGATAGCAATAGAATGGTTCAAGGATTGTGTTGATCAGTTGATGGGACAGTGTATTTTTACAGAGCCAGGGAGGCAGGGAGTGGATAAAAGAACTTGAAAGAGAACAAGAGGAGATTCGTTGCAGAGTTGAAGGTGAACAGAAGGGGATGATATCTAAGTGCTATGGAACTTGGATAGAGTTCTAGACCATGAACCATTTGCATCCCTGAAGGTTGGAGGTCTTCTGGGTGAAGGTTTTTGGAAATGCTTTGGTTATTTCTAGAGATGAAAGTTCAAGTAAACAGAAATGCAGTGTCTTTAGGCCTGAAGGAGAGGCTGTGATAGAAGGATAACATGGCATGCATCACAAGTAATTCCATGCCAAAAGTTGTGGCAGACCAATGCTCTGAAGATTGGAGTGCAACAATGGTGGTGTCAAGAGGAACAGTTTCTATTGGTTGAAAGGACATGGAAAAGCCTTTATGAGAACTAAAAAGCGAAATGAGTTTAAACCTCTTTGAGGTGGATAGGGTTTTGGTTTTCATCTCTCCTCTGCTCATTGAAGTTGGCTTGGTTGGTCTTCCCTTCAACCTTTGGATGGAGAATATCTTTAGGATGATTGAGGAGACGTGTGTAGGTTTTATCAGAACAAACTAGGAAATTTGATTTTGAGCAATCTTCAGTTTGCCTCCATAAAGTGGTAGGAGATAGACCGGAGAGGATCCCTTGGGTGGTTGAGGTAATGCATGATAGGATCTGCTACAAAGTTTGGATTTTGTCTTTGTTGTAGTTGTAGGTTTGGAAGGAGTGGCTCAAGGTGGAAGATGATTATGTGGCAAGAGCTCTGTCATGTGGAGTTTCACAAGTGGAGCATATCAAATTTTTTGAGAACTTCCCCACTAAGGAAGCTGTTTTGACAAGGAAGTCAAGGGTCTCAACTCTCGAGTCAGTTTCTTGCCTTGCAGAAGACATAAGGTCCTCGAAGAGCGTGGGACCTGTCAAAGAGTGCAAGGGCAACATGGAAGCATTTGACCCTTGACAATTGTTGAGGGGGGAATGGTTCAATTTGTAGTGGGGCTTTACCTTTACCAACTGTATGCGTTAGTATGTGTAAAAATGCAATGCAATTGGTCACATTAGGGCTGATGTCTGTTGAGTGATGGTAGACAAATGATTTGTTCTATCATTGTCTTTTGTCAAGTAGTTTAAAAAATAAGGTCTCGTTGTAGTGGAAACAATTGGTAAAAGAGGGTGTAGTCAAGGCTTGTTCAAAGTGGAGGCTTTGAGGGGGAGCAAAGATATGATGTGTAGAAAGTTTCATGCATGGAAAAGTGTGAGAATAGGAAAGGAAAGATAAGTGGGAATGGGTGGTTATGAGATTTGTTAAAGAAGAAGGTTCAAGTTTTCAAGAGATAGTGTGGTTCCAATTGATTTAATGGTTATATTGAATCCTCTTGAAATTAAATAAAAATAGAATAAAATAAGAGGGAAAACCAGTAGAAATTTTCCCTAGAAGTCTCTGCTTGAAAGAGAAAGAGGAGAGAGAGATATGAGAACTAGGGATGAAAGCAATAAAGATTGAGAGTCAGTTCATCTCTCTAAGTCTCTCGATCTACTGCCCACTTTTTTTGATTTACTAATAAATAACCAATGACAACTTCACCCCTAACTAAGAAAGGAGAGAAAACTAACATAATATGAAATCCTAACTATACCCTTGCTGATCATAAATAGAAAAGATAAATACACTTCAACACTCCCCCTCAAGTTGGAACATAAATATCATAAAGTTCCAACTTGTTACAAATAGAATTCATTCTTACACGATTTACACCTTTGGTGAAAAGGTCGACTAATTGATTTCTAATTTCACATAGGGTGTAACAACTTCTCCACTTGCCATCTTTTTTTTTTCTCAAAAAATGATAATCCACTTCTATGTATTTGGTCCTCTCATGGAATACTAGGTTTAGTGGATATGTGGATGGCAGCTTATTATCACAAAGCAATTTCATAGGAGAGGAGGGTATATCTATCCCAATTTCCTATAACAAGTGCTTCAACCACACCAACTCAAGTAGTATGAGCCATAGTTATATACTCTGCTTCTGTACTATTTCTAGCAACAATATTTTGCTTCTTGCTTTTCCAGGAAATTAAATTAGTCCCAAGAAAGGTGCAGTAGCTTGTGGTGGACCTCTTATCTATGTTGGACCCTGCCGGGTCCACATCTGAATACCCTTCTTGGGACAACTCAGCTCCCTTCTTATATAACAACCCTCGACCAGGAGCACCTTTCACATTACCTCAATACCCTTATAGCTGCTTCTTAGTGGTTGGTTTTGGGATTTTTTATGATTTGACTATGCACATCCACTCTAAATGGAATGCCTGGTCTTATAATGGTGAAGTAAATGAGCTTGCCAACTAGTCTCCTATACCTCCTTGGATCTTCCAAGGGCTCCCCTCACCATCTGAAATCTTTACATTTGGATCAATAGGAGTGTCAACTGGTTTAACTCCTAGTAATCATGTGTCCTTTAATAAGTCTATAACATATGTTGGGAAAGGGAGATTCCATATTTGGATCTAGCAACTTCAATACCCAAGAAATATTTCAAGTGTTCCAAATCCTTGGTCTAAAATTGTTGATGTAGAAGCTGCTTAAATTCCTTAATTTCCCCACCATTACTGCCTATAATGATTATATCATCAATATAAATTGCCAAGAGGATTTTCCTGGTTGGTTTCTCTGCTAAACATTAAATGGCCCACACTACACTACTTTAAGCCTAATGTTTCCCACACTGCTAAATCTACCAAACCAAGCTCATAGTTACTGTTTTAACCCATAAATAGCTTTCTTGAGCTGATACATTTTACCTTCCTCCCCTTAAGTGACACCTTGGAGGTTGCTCCATATACACCTTCTTAAGGTCACCATGGAGGAATGCATTCTTGACATTAAGTTAAAACAATGCCCAATCAAAATGAGCAACTAGGGAGATAATGACACAAATGGGGTCCATCTTGGCCACTAGGGAGAAGGTATAATTTACTTCATATAACTAAGTGCAACATTTAGCAACTAGTCAAGCTTTGTACCAATCCACTTTACCATCAGGACGAGGTTTCACAGTATAAATCCACATTACCATCGCCTTCTTCAAGTTAGGAGAAATAAGAGCTTCCTTGAGAGAATGAGGGATAGAAATAGAAGACAACAAAGATAGGAATCTCATTAGCAGGAGATAGATGTGCAAATGATACATAACAAGATATAGGGTGATCAATACATGCATGTTTACTTTTATGGAGTGTGATGGGAAGATCAAGGTCAGATGGACTAGTCAATGGTGGCGGCGATGGTGGCAAAGCAGGAGCTAAAGTGGGATAATCAATTTTTTTTTTTTTTATGAATGAGTTGGATAATCAGTTCCTTGATGCCCTTTGTGACTCACACTCTTAGGAGGTGTATACTTCTCTTGCATCATTTTGGCTAAATATGAGGCTAACAACATCTGTTGAGGCAATAAGGAGAGTTAAGGAAAGAAGACATGGAAGAGGACCCAATAGGAGAAAAGAAAGGCATAGTCTCAAAACATGTCATATCGGGGAGTACAAATGACTTAGAAAGCTGTGGATGATAGCACTTGTGACCTTTCTGAGTATGAGAATATCCTAAGAAGATACACTGTAAGGCTTTGGTGTCAAGCTTATCCATTTTGGACCCTAATTGGTGAACAAAGAAGGCACAACCAAACACAAGGGGAGAAAGTGAGAAGGGTGGAGTAGATGGAAACAAGAAGGGAAAAACTCCACCAAGAAGTGATTATGGCATACGGTTAATTAAGAAACAACCTGTAAGAACTGCATCATTCCAGTTGTAAGAACTACATATATCAAATAAGAATAAGTGTGATAAATGGAAGTTGTTTTTATGGAAGTTGAAAATAAAATATAAAATTTCAAACCAACTCAAAAATGAAATTGTTTTCCTGGTGATGGGTCAACAATTCAACCACTTGGGTTATATGTGTTGTCCTTCGATATAATTAAATAATAAAAATTAAAAAACATAAAAATATGAAAAAGTTAGAAACTCTGTAAAAAATCATTTGGACACATCTCTAATATTTCATATTAATTAATCATATGAAAAACTAGACATGATAACTAAGAATTGTTTTTAACTTTTTATTGATGCTATAAATAAAATACAACTTTAAACTCAACACAAAAATGGAGTTGCTTTTTGTTTGGTGGTGAGTCAACAATTTAACCATTTGGGTCAAATGTGTCAACATCTGATGTCACAATTAAATTAAAAAACCAAAAAAATATGAAAACAGATAAAAGTATTAAAAATACAAAAAATGGTAGAAAACAATTAGGCACATCTTGAATATTGTACAGGATTCTACTATGATACCGGAAAGACATCAAATCTGAAAATATTCTTACCAATCAATCAGTATCATAAACATGTTAACCAATCAGATGGTATTTATCAAAATTTATGGGTGGGCTTTGATTTGTCAAAGTTCTTCCGGTACCATGTCTTTCAGTATCATAGATTTTCCCTGTACTGTATATTCATCATATTAAACAAAAATAAGTATAAGAAATAAGAATAATTTTTATAAACAAAAAAATATAAAATAATTGTAGAAAATTTTGATAACATATTATTTACTATCATCATCATTATCAAAAAAAAAAAAATTGTCACATGCAAAGCGCATGCCCACTTACTAGTCAAGTAAAAGCCCTTCCAAGCAATTCATTTGATTCTTCCTTGAACATCTGATTTCATGAGCATTCAGCATTAGTGATGTAGATGGAGTGCAATATAGGTCTGACCTATATCTAGTCAATTCATAATTATGCTTATGCACTATATTGGAACTAATTTTAACATTGACAGCTTATTTTCACAGATGCAAACTTTTCAATCAAGTATGGTGGTCTAGCCATGGCATCTACTTCTGGCCGACTTTTTGATAGAGAAAATGAAACTCTGGGACCAGCATCATATTATGTAACAGATACCCAAAAATGGGGAGTTAGCAATGTTGGACTGTTCAATGATAGAAAGACCCCAAGCTATTTCCAAAACACCTTATCACAAATTTCAGGTGCAGGTATTTTAACCACTGAGTTCTTCCAAACATCAAGGCTAACTCCAGGATCACTAAGATACTATGGCCTAGGTTTGCAGAGACAGGAATCATTGATGCAAGCCCAGATCATTGGAAAAATCTTGGCAGGCGTGTTTTCGACATTTAAATACGGGTATACATATTACATAATAGTGGGTTTATGTCCTAAATTTCAGGAATCCTCATTGTTATTCCAACTCATTTCTAATTTATTAGAGTATAAACAATAAAGCTTATTGAGGTTTTTTGTCCACAACCCAAATGATTTACTAAAAGAAATGGCCAGAGTAGAATCTATAATTATTATTTTTGGATCTTGAGCTCATTTCAGTCATTGAATTTCTCAAATTTATCTTACAGAATACCAGAAGTAAACCAAAAAGCCAGTTTGTTGATGTGCATGTTCTTTTAGTTTGTATATATACTTGATGCTATGAGCTAAGAGATTTTCTTGGTTGTTGAAACTATTTTTTTAATTTTTTAGGGGAATCGAGAATTAAAAGGCTTGGATATAAGGAAGGAGACAGGCGGAGCCTCGACTTTTGCTGTTCAAAAAGACTTTAAGGCAAATGTGTCTGAGAATTTTCTTGAAATTCATCTTTTCTGGGCTGGAAAAGGTACTTGTTCCATACCTGAACAAGGTTACTATGGACCATCTATCTCTGCCCTGGCTGTAACATCAGATAATATATTAGGAATTGATGGATGAATCTATTTCAATGAATGGATGTAAAGAATCAAGTATTCTTTTATTTTCTCTAAATTAATGATTATGGATTTCTTGGACAGACTTCACACCAAATGTAAGTGGCCTTCCACCAACAACCACAGGAAGTAAGGGAAAGACAGGATTGATTGTTGGACTAGTAGTTGGTGTTGCAGCTGCAAGCCTACTGGCAGTTATAGTTTTTTACTTAAAAAGGAAAAGATGCCAATGAGGATGAAGATGGTAAAATATTTTAATTTTAACATTGGTTAACTGGTAAATTGGTAATGGTGGTTTCTTTTTGTTTTTTTCTTTTCCTTTTTTAATTTTTTGACCCACTCCTCAGGTGATACCCAAGTAATAATAAGATAAAAAAAAATATCTCTCTGGCTGTGATGTTGTCTAACTCAGTTAGATTTAAGTATAAATGCTGAAAGACAAACTAAACTAAATTTTCTCAATTTTGATGCTCGATAAGCTGCAACCTAGAGCAGGCCATTGATCCTACATATAGTAGGTTATATCTATTTGGTTTCAAGAGCCCCTGATTAAAGTTATAATCCACATTTTTGTGTTTATTTGCAGTGTTTATGGGAATAGGTCCCAGATCAAACACATTCAGTTATGCTGAGCTGAAAAATGCTACAAAAGACTTCCATCCGAAAAATAAGCTAGGAGAGGGGGGCTTTGGGCCAGTTTACAAGGTAAGTTGCATTTCATCTACCAATCTTATAATTAGCTACAGAATAACATAACATCATAGTTAAAAGACTTAATTTCTCCTTTAAAGCTCAAAGCTCAGGGTTAGTATGATGATCGTAACATTAGGAAAAATAAGTGAGCTTCCATGGAAATTTTTGGCTCATTTCTTACTATAGAACAGGACATGGAATTATTGTTTGACATTAGAATGCATTGGATTTTAATAGGTGGCATGAAAAGAGCATTATTGTACACCTTATCTATCATGCAGATATGCATGAATACATATGTTTACATAAATACATAAGTATACAAACATAAAGAGGGGAGTTAAGTGGTTTTAGTATCTATGCATGAATAACATTCACACAATTTCTAGTTGTTTGTTATACATATATTGTGAATATTTGTATCTATGAGTGTGTCTTTGAAGGTTTCTCTGTCATAGTCTGTATGTATATGAATGCATGCACATAAGTAAATACATACCCACATAAAGGATCTTGGTTTCATGTTCTTTAAATACAATTACCAAAAAAAAATGTAGTTTAGTATATTTTTTCAACCAAATTCTTCCTGTTTGTATACATATATACTGACAAAGAGTTCAAATTGAATTGCATGGTTTCTACAGGGTACCCTTCTTGATGGGAGGGTAGTGGCTGTGAAGCAACAACTCTCAGTGGCATCCCATCAAGGAAGAAATCAATTTGTAACAGAGATTGCTACCATATCTGCAGTCCAACAACGCAACCTTGTCAGATTATATGGATGCTGCATTGAAGGAGGGAAGCGTCTCTTGGTCTACGAGTACCTTGAAAACAAAAGCCTTGATCAAGCCCTCTTTGGTATAAACCTTTTCAAGAATTTTGTTCTCTCACCTTGAAACTCCATAAATTTATTCATATATATGGAATACATTAGGTGCTATAAAGATCATGTATATCCCAAATGGTCCCACTGGTTTTCAGGGAAGACTTGTTTGAATCTTGATTGGCCAACTCGCTATGAGATATGCTTGGGAATTGCAAGAGGGCTAGCTTATCTTCATGAAGAGTCAAGACCTAGGATTGTACACAGAGATGTCAAGGCTAGTAATATTCTACTTGATGCTGAGTTAAATCCCAAAATTTCAGATTTTGGTTTGGCCAAGCTTTATGATGACAAGAAGACCCACATTAGCACCAGAGTTGCAGGAACAATGTAATCATCTGAAAGCATTTACTTGCATCATTTTCTAGCTTGAATTACTTTCTATTTATATTTATGATACTTAATCTATATAACCAAGTAACCTCAGTTTTGGTTATTGTCTGTGAAGTGGCTCTCTCGCACCAGAGTATGCTATGCGTGGACATCTAACCGAGAAGGCTGATGTGTTTGGGTTTGTTGTTGTCACTCTAGAGATCATTAGTGGGCGGCCAAATTCTGACTCCAGCTTGGTCCAGATAAGATCTATCTTCTTGAATGGGTAAGAATGAATGGAATATGAAATTTATAGTTTTCAAGTTTGTTTTAATCCATTACCAATGTTTGCAATTTTTGTTTGATCATTTAGGTATGGAATCTACATGAAAATAGCCACGATCTTGAACTTGTTGATCCAAAATTAAGTGAATTTGATGAAGGAGAAGTTCATCGACTTACAGGAATAGCCCTGTTATGCACTCAGACTTCACATGCACTGTGCCCCTCCATGTCATGCGTTGTGGCCTTGCTTTCAGGAGATATTGAAGTGAGCACCATCACATCCAAACCCAGTTATTTAACAGATTGGCAATTTAATGATATCACCAGTAGCTTTTTGAGTGAGAATTCTTTGAGGAAGTCAATGTCAGAGTCAATTGACAGCCAATTCAAGACATCATCAGATACTACCGTGGTGAATGAACCAAACACTTCCACCGAAGATGTTTCTCAACCAATGCTCCATAGTATCATTGGAGAAGGAAGGTGACAATTGGCTTCCATGTTAACCAAACATGTATCATAAATGTCTTGTTTTTCTTGCAGTTTCCTACTAGAGGAAGGTACTTTCATTGTGCAGCCTATTTGTTGTTTCAAAACTAAAAACAAAAATTTGTTATTAATGTTTCAGAAAATATTGAGTAGCCTATTTCCTTTTAGTGTCAAATTGAATTCCATCACAGGGCAGCATCGGTTTACTTCTGAATTTAAAATGCAGTACTTCAGCATTTCGAGTAGTTCAACATTTGCCATTGCAGACATTGCCTTAACCTCAATAACATCACTGAGCCCAACCTATTATCCAGTAAAAGAATCCAACGTGTCTTCTACCTAGTAGCTACTTAAGGTCCAATGTTAACAACCGATCATTCTCATTTTCAACAGTACTCACTAACAGCACACCAGTGGATTGACAACCTGAACCATAATATACTTGAGTGGGGTTAATTTCAAAGGAAGTAAGGTCCTTGAATATGTTTTATTTTCTAACATGCCCCCTCACACGAAAGCCCATTGGGCTTGAAGTGTGGACAGCACAGGTCCACCCATACCTTGTGCTGAAACTTAATTAATTATAATGGGGTGACTAGAATCGAACAATAGGCCACTTGGTCAAAGTGGATCTGATACCATCTCAAAGAACTATTCAACCTAAAAGCTTAAGCTGTTAAGTGAGTCATTGAATAGGTTTTACTCTCTAACAATGTTTTACTTACTGTCTTGCTTACAATAAATGTACTACTTCCAATGTGAACTGTAAGGACATTTTAACTTCAACATCAATGCATGAGTATTGGAAAAAAAGAAAGTTTCCTCCGTAAAATTACATAGATTCCTAATGAGATCTTAGTAATTTACACACCCTTAACAAACCACAGAAATGGCCGAATATATACAAAAAATAAATTGAAGAAAGTCCATTTTTTCCATTCTAATAAATCATTCTTCCAACTATATACTACAAAGAAGAAATACTAAGGAAACAGAGTATTATTTTAAGTTCACCTAGATCAGAAAATTCAAGCAAATCATCATAAGTAAAGAAAGAGAGAAAACAGAGAATCTTATGTAAAGCAAATTAGTAACAAAAAGGAATTAGTAAAGAAAATGAAAGGAAAAAAGGGGAAAAGCAGGTCTAATCTGAGCACAGATATAATTATATTGCCACTATAATAAACTATTGAATCAGGCCTAGCTTAATCTGATTTCTTTTTTATTTGTTTCTTTCGTTATTTTTATCTAGACCATAAAGACTGGCTCCATCAAAAGGAGCCAGACCAATCCAGAAGAAGCAGACCAGGCTGGCCATAGGAAACCCATTTGAAGACTTCATAGTTCATATGGACTAGCTGCCCATTTGAAGACTTCATAGTTCATATAAACTTCTGTAACAATGCCAATAGAGTCCCAAGATCTGTCTATAAGCACAGTCCCTGGATCCTGATAGAAAGGTAATGTGAAGGCCAATTATCCAGCCCTAAGCTTCCACTTCCTTAAATCACTGATCCATTCATCTCCTTGCTTCTTCCAGAATCCATATGATTCCCAAACTGGATGAGGTGGTATCTTAATAATATCCCGTGGCATTGGATTGCCGTAAGGGCTGCATATTTGGTATGGCTCTTCAAGGTGTTTAGCATTGTTAGTTGCACAGTAACTATGGTTAGCCTCATATGGAAAGTTGGATGTGTCATTACAATATATGGGAGGAGAACCACCATGACTAATATGATATGGAGAACATGCTAAGTTAGTAGGACTGAACAGTGCACCTGTGTTTGGACTGAGGATCATTCTGAAGTATTGATCTGCATCAATTCTACTGTTGCCTTCGCATCTAAGCCCATCGTTCTGCCAACAACTTCTCATCTCTAGCAAGTTGAATTAGCTATTTGCACCTCCTCCTTTGAGTACATTAAGTGTGAAAATAACTTCAAAGTCTGGTGAAATTGTAAGTTACAATATCATAACAAGCCAAAAGAATTTAAAACCCTTGACTAACTAATTACCATTGCAAATTATATAACTAATATGATCAGAAATTAATTTTACCAAAAAAGAAACCAGAAAAATCATACTTACATCCTTAGTCATTCCTCTGGTACCAAAGCCAAAGTGATGAAAAACCCAACTCCTATCCTCTCTAATGTTCTCATAAAGTGATGAAAAACCCAACCTCTATCCTCTCTAAATTTCTTTTCCCATGACAGAGTAGTAAGAAATGTTACATGTTACTCCTTTAGCAAAATCAACATCAAAGTCATATGTGCCAAATAAACTCTCTCTATGAAAAGTCTCCTTTCCAACTGCTTGCAACTGGTATACATAAGTGGTTGATTTATACACCCTTTTTTGAAACATGAGAATCTACCTCCTCTATCTTCAAAGGGGCCAACCTTCTTGCCATTACTCGAACACAATCCCAGCATGTGTATCTAATAAGTTACTATTTTTAATAGTAATCATCCAAAACTGATGAAAAAAACTCAGATCATGCCCATGTACCTCACATTTGGAACTGAGGTATAGTTCCTTCTGAACAATATACAAACCTTTGTCATGAACATGAGCCAAATCTTGTCCCCTAAATGAACTAGGAAAGGGTTGCCCATGTTGCATTTCTTTTATTTTTAGTGTATGTGATTCAAAAGTTTTGTAGGGGTATTTTTGTCTTTATTTTCTCACTAAGTGTCCTTTCTTATTCTAAATGACTTTTCAATTTAAAGTGTCTTTCGGTTAAAGTTTCTTTAAACATGTCTTTAAATTTAAATTAGCATCCTTTCATTTTGAAGTGCCTCTTCATTTGAAAGTGTCCTTTAAACATATCTTTTTTTTTTTTTTAAATTAGTGATTTTTCATTTCGAAATTAGCAGCCCTTCATTTAGAACCTATTTCTTATAAAGTATTTTTCTTATTTTAATCTTAGTAACCTTTCATAGGGGTTTTTTCTTTGTTTAGTACCTTTTTAACAAATTGCTATTGGGTTTATATATATACCCAAGGACATTTGAGACTCAACACACACAACACTACTTTAAGGAAGAAAAAGGATGGGAAACCTGTACATAGTAGAAAGTAAGAACAAAGTAGGAGGAAGAAGAAAAGTGGGTTTCAAGGAAGGAATACCCTCTCAACCTGCACTGTAGTTCTATTCATTAAGCATGCTGAAATTACAAAAATGCCCTTGTTAAGTGATTCTTAACAAGGGAATACCTGATTACATCAAAGGACTAAAATGCCCATGTGGGCTAAACACCTTCCTCTCATGCTGTATGCACTATACTTGATCTAGAGAAGATGAAATTTTTCTTAGGCTCAGTTTGGAAGCAGTACAAATGCAAATATGTACAGTGCAAATACATACAAAATAATATAAAATATAAGGTTTTGCACTCTACATATTTGCATTTGTACTCCTTCCAAACTCAGCCCTAAGGATAGTGTCCTAGACATGCTTTAGCCGATAAGCCCAATTTTCTTCTTTTTCTTTTACTTCTCTAACCTTATTTGCTATTAGTGGTTTTCTACTCTAATTTTACAATTAAATTATTTTCTTTCAAATTTCATTTGATATCCTACAATTAAATTATTCTCTTTTAAATCTTACATTTTTATCCTCACTTTATTATTAGTAGTAGTATCCATGTACACTTCCTACCACCCACACTTGATATGTTATCTGCTTCCATCACTCTATGACCAACGGAAGATGTCTTCAAATGGACATCAAAGCAATCAGCTATAGTTGGGCTCCCCATGTTAGGAGCTTCTTATCCAACCTTGTTCCAATAGTTCCATGTATCTTGTTGTTGCCTAAGATGAGCCGAGGGCAACAATGTAATTTTTCTTCCATAGACGAGGGCTAGCTAAGCTCGAGGGCTGATAGAGCCAAGGGGTTCAAGATCCGACCTGTGTGCAAAGGAAGATATCAAAGGCCCCGTATGTTATCCTAGGGGCAGTGACTCCAAAGGTCAAGTTAGTAAGAGCATAGTGAGGGTTTGGACGAGGCCTGAGTAGAAAAAGCTCAGACGAGATCACCAGAGAGCTAGGGAGTTTAAAGTAGTAAAAGCCAAAATAGCTTACCCAAGGAGTGACACCACTTATTTATACTTGAACATACCTAGAATTTATTACCAGCGAACGGCCAGGATGCATTCCGGTGCACACCACATGTCGCCATCTTAGGCTGCCATGTGCGCCTATGTCATTGGGCCTGCTATATGCACCTACATCAAATCTATTGCTAATCTCAAATTAAGAGTTTCTTATGCTTGAATCTCCCATAATGGAATATTCAGGTCTAGGCCACTCGGAGTCATCTTGTTGCCCGCTTGAAGCAGTAAATGAAAGGATAGATAAATACACACAGGGGGAAAGAGAGAGAAAGATGTTTTTTTGGTTCTCTCACATTCAATTTGAGTGAATAAAAAATTCCTACCCATGTTATTGGGTTTAAATAATCCAAGCATATGTTGGCTATTGACCAATAAACTTGAATGTTGAACCCAATTTAATAGGATTCTGATCATCCTAAAATTAGACATATGGCAAGTTTAGGGCTGTTCATAAGAAGGCCCAACCCGATCAAATTGATCAACCCGGACCGATCCAACCCGAGTCGGTTGGGTTTTCATCAGCACGGGTCGGTTTCGGGTTGTGCAAATTCCTAAACTGATGATTCGGGTCGGTTTCAATTTTCACACAAGAAAATCGAAACCGATCCGAACCAAACCGACTTAGTTCCTAGTTCAAACATGAAGTTCTAAAGCCCATTAGGCCACCTAGTTTTTGAATGGTTGCAAGAAATTTTGGATTAGTGAATAGTGATTAATGAACAACTTTTGTGATTAACTTTTCATTTAAATTTTATCATAGGAGATGACTGAAATGATGTTCAATTTATGACTGCTTTTAAAATTAACAAGATTTTATCACAGGGATGAACTTAGAATCAAAACCAACCCAAACTGACCCAACCCGACTCAAACCGACTAGGTCGGTTTTGCTTAACACTAGGTCGGTTTTAGTTTCTATTTCAAATAACCCGACTAGGTCAGGTCGGTTAGAAAAACCACAATAAACCGACCCAACCCGACCCATGAACAACACTATCAAGTTATGGGCACTTGGATCCAAGCTTTTACCCTCCCAAATTG